ACAATGATCCAACAATATCTGATGTGGATCTAAAGTCAAGTCCTCATGAAAGGTCATCCTGGTCAACGTGTCCTGACATGAAATCCAAAACAACAAGTATAGTCAGGATCATGTGGTGGCGTGTCAAACGGGGGCAATACGATTGCGGTCCCATACAGGTGAAGCGGACCATAAGAGGGTTAGCCCAAATGAAGCCCAAGTGAGATTTCATCCCAAAATCAATTAGTGATGGGAGGAGTAGCCCACTAGACTTATAAACTAGGCTCATTTACCCTATCAAATCAATGTGGGACAACTCACAAGTGATATTCCCAACATGACGGCCGACCAAATCTAAATGATGGGTACTCTAGCTAGTCTATTTTTCAACTTATATATAGTAATCATTGCGGCTGGGGTAAATTGGTTTTACTCGAACACAGCAGGACGCATCCCTTCTTCAGAATCTTTGTTTGAAAAGGTCAATACACCCGGGGCTAAAAAGCCTGGTTTTACACACGGTATTTGTGGAAATAGTAATAGCCTTTTCAAACTGGATATGCAATATAAGCCAAACACTGCGTCAGATTTTTTTTATTTCCCCATGGTGTGTTGCAGTTCTCTTCAGATTGATAAATTTTTGTATAATCCCTCCCTATATATTAATTCATAACGTGTTGAGTTTAGGTGACAGATTCTCACGCTTCGGATACTGATATGACGAAAATCTATGCTTCGTGATGTTGTTTTTATATTGTTTTTTGCTCTGGAGTTAGGTTTGGTATTAGAAATAAATAACTTTACACATATATTCATTAACTCAACACTCATGTTGTACATGAGTATTAATACCAGTATGTATTATTTGTGATAAAACAGGCCAATATATAATCTACCAAGTTTAATTATTTGACTAGTACACCATTGTATGAAAATTTTAGCCTAATTTCACTTTAAGTCCACTATGTTGGTCATTTTCGAAAAAAATGTTTATCGTATAGGGTGTCATCAATAATCGTCCACTAAGTTGCCACTTTAATTTAAATTGTACTAAAAATGACGATCATTTTTAGTACGTTATCTTGGTTTTTGTATGAATTTTGATGACGCTCTATATGATAGATCTATATGATAGTTCTTTTTCGAAAATGCTAACTTAGTGGACCATTTTTTATGACGCTTTATATGATAGATCTTTTTCGGAAAATGGCGAAAATAGTGAACTATTTCTAAAATTTTGGCTGAAAAAATTATTTTATAATTTTTAATTAAAAATAAAAAAACAATGAAATACTGCGTAATTATGCACCATTTATAATTGAAGTGCCAACATAATATATCAAGTTTGATGACAGATCAATGTAACGAATGATTTGTGTAAGTAAACCTAATTGATTGATCATTTATGAAATATTTGCATTAATGGCCTTTTCCGCTTACAATAATTTGCAACATTAGAAGTACTATTAAGCTTAACTATTCGACAAATACGTATTCTTATTAAGAAATCTTTAATACGTACGTTCTTGAGGGAGAGCTTTGCCGCCCTTGTGGTCCTACTCGACTCGATTCCAGATTAGTCGGTTCCCATGTAGATCCAAAAACCGGAAGGTCCCTGTACAAAAAAAAAAAAAAAATTAGACCATTTATATAATTTACGGGAACTACTACAGTCTCGTTGACGGAATGGTTCCGTATGTCAGTATTAGTTACGGTAGATTATCCACACCACCATAGGCGGCTCCAGGGGGTAGGCAACCTAGGCATGGGCCTAGGGCCTCCATTTTATTTGGGACCTCATTTTTTTTTAAAAAATTTATGTATTTGTGTTGAGTTTTGTCTATCTATACAAATGAGGCCTCATTATTATTTTAATATTATGTATTTGTGTTAGGATTTTGTCTATGTACCCAATATTTCTACAAATGAAGGGGTTAATGGCTAAATATGGACTTGATCAGTCATTACACAAGTCATTACACAATATTTACACAAATGTTCGGTCAGAACAAGTTGTGTGAGAATAAATATTCTTTGTAGTGACATGATTTTTATTTTTTTCTCTTTGTTGTCTTCGTGATTGGTTGAATGTAATTTTTTTTTCGAAACGATATAATTCATTACTAAACACGTACTTACAACCGGCTCAGGAGCCGGAAATGAGAGGCTACCAAAGGTAGCCTAAATGCCACAACACAACACAACCAGAAAAATACAGAAAAAACAAACAAATAACTCTCCAATGAGAGAATACCCACTCCCCAACGGGAGAATACAAACTCCCCAACGAGAGAATCGACACTCTCCAAATGGAGAAAAACACAAATGCACACTAAAAGGCAACATCACAAACAAACACAATAAAAAACACAAAACAACTAAACTAAAACTAAAATCCTTCCCGCAGCAGTGTAGCCAAACCGAACACCAACAATGCCGACACCATGGCCAAGACCCGCAATCGGAGATTCAAAACATACTCCACCTTCCAAGACCCGACAACCCAGATTCAGGACACAGGGCCCCACCCCGACCCGAGCCGACTCGACCTGGTTGAGGCTCCACCACCCGACCCGACCCGGTTGAGTGTAATTTATTAAAGAAAAACATAAAAAAAATCTTTTTTTTCAATTATTTATTTATTTGTTTATTTAATAATCTCATTTAAATTTATGATTTTCTATGCAAGTAGCCCTAATTACCATGTAAATTCAAATCGGGAACATTTGAAAAGAAAAAAACTTGTCTGGGGCCTCCGAATTTCTGGAGACGGCCTGCACACCACATAATTTATATGTGTATCGAATGGTAAAAAATACTGACGGTACCATCCAATAACGGGACATCAGTATTTTCTAATTTACATATACAAATAAGATACTATTCAAATTACACAAATCAGATAATAAAAATATCCTTGCACCCTAATTTTCATGAATTATTACCCTCTGATGAAACTAATGATATGACGTTATTAGTCATTCAGGTGTCAATCAGAGTGCGGAATACTATAATAATGCCGTAGCAAAAATTCGTCATCCCCTCGAAATTGTTTGATGTAATTATCAACTACTTTTTACACGAAAATTGTCACCTTTCTTTTCAAAATAATATCAAAATAATTATCAACCACTTGTAAATGGATACTGTTCATAATATGTGTCGTCTTGACAAGTTAATGTAATTAAGAATTTTTTGTTTTGTCAATAATATTCTCTTTAATGAAAATTAATAATGTGAAATTATGGGTGAATAGAAAAAGACATAGTGTATATTTATTATTTAAATGAACGTAATAATAGAAAAATATGTAAAAAAAAATATTCAATACGTCATCAATTTTATTAGTGATAAATAAAGTCAAAATGACATTTAATATATAGTAGTATATGAAAGAGCAAAATTAATCAAAATCAAAGGTTTTGCCATAATCATATATATAGAATGGCATCATCAAAAAAAAAATCCACCATATGATCGAGCATGTACTTAGCCATTAGAGTGGAAACACAAAATCACGAACAAATACCAAAGACATTGATATTATTATTATTATCAATGCTCGATTTCGGACGACTGCTCGTCATCCTCGAACGAGTCGACCCCATAGGCCCCGTGTCCATCCCCGAAGGCCTTGATGTGATCCTTGAGGGACCTCTTGTGCTTGAAATCCGAGCCGCACGCACAGTACCACAGCTTCCCGCAGTTTTTCTCGTGGGTGCGCCAGTCACCGCGCACGGCAAAGGCCTTGCCACATTTGCGGCAGACGAAGGGCTTGATGCCGTGCTTCCTTTTGTAGTGGGTCTGAAGGGTGCGGAAGTCCTTGAGGGGCTTGGCCCGTGGGTGGTCGATGTTGTTGCGGCAGCCGGGGGTGCAACAGTAGCACGGGAGCCTCAGCATGGCAGTTGGCTGCGTGCCTCTCAGGGATTCGGGTCCTTTACGGTACTGGGACCCGTGGCCCCACATGTGCATCTGTGTCAAGGGTTTTAGAGGTCAATTAGTTCACTGTTGTTTGTAACTATTATTTATTTAGGATTTCATTATTTTCTTTTCATTTTTTTTTTATCTAATTGTAAATCGAAAATTGTCGTCAACGAAAAAGTTCAATTTTAATGTCTGAATTAATTAAGATGACTAAAAATAGGTTAAATTTCATTTTTAGTACATTATGTTGGTCAATTTCCGAAAAAGGCTCATCATATAGGGTGTGTCGTCAGTATTGTCCACTAAGTTTCCAATTTTAATAAAATCTCGTACAACAGTTAACATAGTGTACTAAAAATGGAGATCATTTTTAGTACACTATCTTAGTTTTTGTATGAATTTCAATTAAAATAGTAATTTAGTGGATCATTCTTGACGACGCCCTATACGATGAAACTTTTTTCGGAAAAATAGGTAACATAGTGAACCATTTTAAAAAAATAAATAAAATTATGCACTAAAAAATGAGTTTGCTATTTTTTTTTGGGGGGGAGGGGGGGAATTTTTTTGGTAGAATGAAAAAATAACAAAAATTTTGCATACATTGGATGGTCCCTTGTGATTTGGGTACTTAACTGATGTGATATAACAAAACCTTGAGGGCATTTTATTGAAATTTATTGAATTAGCCCTTTTTAGATAAGGATTCAAATATATTTTTTTTTAATTATTAAAAAAACTTGGGTAGGGATTTCAGACTAAACAAAAAATAAATAAATAAATAAATAAATAAATAAAAATAATTAATCAAGGTCATCATGAAAGAATCTCGTTTTTGCAGATGTTTTTGGGGTCTACTCAAAAATTAATGTTACCCAATCAAGAGGTCTCATCATATCATATGTATTGTAAAGCATAACTGTTATAAAAAAGGTTAAAGTTTTTGGAAAAGAAGGGAAAATAAAAAATAAAATAAATGAAAGCTAAAATTGATGCTTTTTGAATAATATATAACATGTGTGTGTCTTTGTGTGAAAAACAATTAAAAAAAAAAAGATGATGCAGAAAGCAATTAATACAATTAATGTTATTACTGTGACAATGATGAAACAGGAAACAATAGAATCATTCTGTGCAAATTGAACACAACTGGCAATATTATGAATATATATAATTAGTAATTATACAAACTTCAAAGGACAAAAGGCATAATGGACTAATTGTGGCAGGTTTTCAGTTGCTCCAGGTGGATTTTGTATATGCATACATCCCAAATTCCCTCCCAAAAAAAAAAAAAAAAAAGAATTAATTAAATAAGGTAAATTAAGGAAGATGCTACGGTCCTGTTAGATCAACTATCTCTGACGATTACATGATGATTCAATGGTTCCAACTCTCGACGGAATGGCTCCGTAACGGGACCGTAGCAATTCCTAAATACTACTATTAGAGTGAATAAAAAAAAATAAAAAATTAAACAAGAAAGAAAGAAAGACAGAGATAATCAGCTGTTGCATAAAAGGAAAAAAGTTTGAAAAAACCCTAAATAAGGACCCATCTCTGAACCAATCAATCCCACTAAAAGTTAAAGGTTGAAATTACACTAAAAAAGATGTGGAGAAAAAAAAAATAAAAAAAAATCATGGCTTCTCTCTTTTTCTGCAATATTAGTAAATCACATTTTTTTCATCACCAAAGAAATAAATAAATAAATAAATAAATAAAACACACACACACACACAGAGAAGGAGGAAGGTAGCAAGATTTGTGACATACCTGCATGTTATTGTACCTATTAAAAGTCTTGAAACAAAGCGGGCAGGAAAACTGGGTCGGGCCTATTAGAATCTGAGCCGGGCTCGGGATCCAATACTGGCCCTTGTTAATCGGGCCCACGGCTGCCGCTGCGGCCACACTAACGCCGGAAGCCTCCTCCTCCTCATCGTCCTTGCCGGAATCCGTGAAGTCGGCACAAGCAGAAGTCGTTGGAAGGCCCAAATTCAGAGTGACGCCCAATAAAGACTCGTCGTTCTTCTTCGTGTTGGTGTCGAGATCCATGGAAGCATCGCCTGGCCGGGGGCCGAGGAGGGGAAGGGCTTCCTTGAGCGGCGGCGAAGTGGGCGGAGAAGGCGGGTATCCGTAATTGTTTGTGAAGTAGAAGTTGAAGCTGTAGTTGTTGCGTGCCAGCGAAGACGAAGACGACGACGATGATGATGGCGGTGACGGGGTGGCTGTGGTGGTGGTGAAGTGGTTAGTAGGGTTGAGTTTGAAGCCTCCATTATTGATCAAGTAATTGGGGTAGGGATCAGCCATGATGAGAGAGAGAGAGAGAGAGAGAGAGAGAGAGAGAGAGAGATTAAATGATGAGGAGGGAGGACATATGCATAAAACAAGAATACCTAAGATGACCAAAAAGGTTGGGAAGGAGTAATAAGTGAACTTTGAAAGATTTACTGCTGGGTTTTTAAACTTTTTGAAGGAGGAGGATATGGTGAGGGTTGGTAGGAAAAGGTAATGAAAGTGGATTAATAGAAATGGATTCGATGAAGTAAAAGCTTGATGAATAGTACTTCTATTGTCTATTCTGAAATGGTTTCATGTTCGCCATAAATTGGAACTCACCTAATATCATACTTATTATTGTGAGCAGCTCTGATATGCTTACGGGATTTTCGTCTGAAAACTTAATTTTGTTAATAAAAATGTAAATTCAGAAATTTTAGATATGTACAAATGTTTTTTTTTAAAAAAATATTGGATTAAATAATTAGATAGACTATAATAAATTTGATGTTACTAGCACGTATCCCGTGCGATGCACGGGACAAAGATATTAAATGAGTTATTTCACAGTATTTTCAGTTTAAGTCTAAAAAGTAATAGGGTTATTATCTATTTTCTACCTCTTTTAATCAACATTAAGCCAAAAAACAATAGAGTCATAAGCTCTTTTTCCACATCTTTTAGTCAACGCTGTTTTTTTAGCTAGAACATTAAATATGAGCATGTTAAGGCTAGCTTGTAAAATAATTAATATATTATCTCACTAAAACATTTATACTAATAAAAATTTAATTTTAGCATATAAATTTATCCCTTGATATAAGAGAAAGTAACAATTTTACTTACTTTGTTCACCATATAATATTTAATTACTATTTTATATATTATATAATAAAAAAGAATACTGTTAAATAGTGCAGTAAAATTTTTATAAAATTATATGATTTCTTTTACAATATATATTTAATATCTTTTTATGATTTGATAATATAACTATAATATATTCTTAATGATATAATGATTTACTTAGTATAGCTAGAATGCTGACAAATAAAAAAACTATTAGACGCATCCAATATTCTGCTATAAGATAATGTTTTCTCGTTATGATGAGGTTTTTATCCATCATATTTTTCTACACATCTATTAGATTAAAAATTTAGATGCAGCCATCATTCTGCTATACTTAAGAAAAATGTTTCCTCGGAGCGAGATGCATGCCACATGTCATCTAAACTTTTTTTTTTTTAGTTTGTTACTTTTAATTATCACAAATTTGTCCGCGTGAATTGATTTACAACATACTGTACATTCAATTTTACAAAATACTCTACATTCAATTAAGACTGATTTTTATTTGCTAATGATTTATAAAGATTGATTATTATTTTGACCAAACAGGAAAGATGAACTTGTTGGATCAATGTTGTTAATCTAAACAAACATAAAAGTTTTTCATATTATTTTTTAGTCTTTATGAGTTTGTAACGTTTTATCAGTGTATGAAATATTTTCATGATTTTTTTATTTATTCCACGATTTGTTAATTCATTACAGTTTTGAACAATCTATGAAAATTATTAAGCCGCCTTCTGGCAAATATGTATGTGGTTATGTGTTCGTGTATCATAAGTCGCAAACATAATGAATAACATTATAAATTATTCATTCAAACTTTTATTCATTACAAATATATTAAAATAGTTTATATAACAACCATTAAATACCACTTTTAATATATTTATAAATAAAAAAAGTACATAAATTTTCTAGTGTGTTCAAATTTAAATAGTTTTTGGTGGGCTCAATTTTAAATCATCCAGACATTTGGTCAAACACATAGGTGTGTTTAAATTTAAATCATTGGCATTTTTTTCGATTGAAATTTAAATTATGTTCAATCATCTATCATGGTACTGTAATGTGTATAATATATATATATATATATATATATATTTAGATATATATACAATTTTTTAACAAATAATATGTGTTTTATAAAAATAATAATAATAATTTCACAAAATTTTAGATGTAAAATCTGATTTTTGATCACAATAGAAAAATCATGGTAAGTTGTATTGAAAAGGTGTTATGGGATAAAACAATTAAATAAATAATTAAATAAAATACTTAATAAAAATATAATACATTAATTACCTTTGACTTTTCTTATTACAAAATCTAGTAAATAAGATAGCTTTTTATATAAGTATAAATTTAATTATTTTTTTTTTACGGAATAGATTCTAAATTCTATATTGTAGAGATTCAAATCGAAAAAAACATCTACTATATATAATAGAAAGTTTGTTAAGTAAATATTTATACAGATTCTAATCGGAAAAAACATCTATTCCATATTTATAAATATTCTAATCGGAAAAAACATCTATTCCATATTACAATATGTAATTAATGAAAGTTTGTTAAGTTACTAATTTTAGACAATAATTAATGAATTTGGCGGGAAAATATTACTAAAAGTGAATTAAGTTAATCCTTATCCTTATTATATATTAATAGATATGACAAAAAATGAGTGTCATGTAAATCTTTCTTGTCAGTAAAAATTTGTAGTAACAAAACTTTATAATCACAGTGATCGTTATTATTGTAGTCGCGTCACAAAATATATCTATGACAATATTATTGTTAGTTGTATTTGGTGTATTTTATATTGTAGGGTTAGATTTATTGGTATAATCTAAGGGTGACCCATCTTATAATGCCTTTATATACATGTACATACCCCTTGTGTAAATACAACAAAAGTTTTCCCCACATTTTAACATATTATCAGACTAGGGTTAGGGTCACACATAGGCTTGGTATTCGGTCGTTCGTCTCCAGCCACTTTTGACTCTCACCACCCTCACCATCCTCTCCAGCGTCCCTAGGCGGACCTTCGCCGAAAGTTTTGGCTCCATCGGCGCAGCGTGTGGCCCACACGCGGCTCGTCTTCGTTCCAGTGTCGGAATCTTTAGATGACGCGTGAACCCAACCTCGGACGCCTTTCAACGATCGACTCCTGTCACGTTTGGCTACATTGTGGTGCGATCACATTTGGTATTCGTTATTTTTTTTTATTTTTGCCCGTACGGATATTTTATCTGATCAGTGATCCAATTTGTTATTTTCTTTCGTCTGCTTCATGAGATTGTTGATGATTATTTATTTTTGGATATGGATCGCATGGATATCCATAGGCAAAAATTCAATTTTCCATTGGCCACTTTTGATCACTATCTTTCGCCTCATCAAAAATGGTCCATTATGTTACACTTTTCATCAGTTTTAGTACACTACTCCAGTTGGCGGGATTACAAGATGACGTGGACCGGGATTGGAGCTACGTGGAGGGATAGGTTATTGACGTGGTAGGATAAAGACCTGATTTGTCATCTCGTAATCCTGGGCCACGGGATGAGTATACTAAAACTGATGAAAAGTGTAACATAATGGACAATTTTTTATGAGGTGAAAGATAGTGTACCAAAAGTGAATAACGGACAAGTTAGCGAACCAAAATTAGATTTTTGTTGATATGCATACTTCTATTAGTGTTGCCTTATCTAAAGATACTTATAGTCTTTAAGCACAGTCAATGAAAAATATTCTAATTGATAGAAAATTCTGGAGAATTAATATAACTGGTGATGTATTGTCACCTACTATCCGCCTCGTATGGGGGATACCAACCCCACCTCACAGGCTCTTACGATATACGTTGATAGGTTGGAGGATTGTGATAGTCAAAACCATCAGATTTTTACTTGGTTACGTAACACTTCAGTTCCAGCTATTCAGATGCAACTTTCCCCTTTTGAAGGTGCGAAGGAGGCTTGGGATTCTTTTGGCTACTCGATTTTAGACTACGGGCTTGACTCACTTTTATCAGCTTTGGAGCACCTTCCATTCCACCAAGCAGCAACTCGGTCAATGAGTTTTCGTGCACAAGTACAACCTATCCCATATCATCTTCGACAGGCTATGATTGTTGGGATCGGTGAGGATCTCGCTATGCACAAATCACGAATTTAATAGCAACAATATACCTATGTGCAGTGGATCTAGAGGTTTTTTGTTTAATGAAACATCCTTCAGGATTGGGGATTAAGGCGGGATCCCCTACCTTTGTGTAGTTAGAATACGCTTCAAAAGGTAATGAAGAGTTCTATTAGCCAAATACAGAATCCAATCACAAAAACGAAAAATACTACCCAACCGAAGAATCTGATCCTAAGCTACTAGGTGCCTAGGCGTACAATCTAATCTTCCAAATGATCCATGAAACAAAAATACAAAAAAAAAAAAAATAAAAGATATTAAACTAAAATGAAACCACAAACAACAAAAGGCTACCGGAACCTGAAAGAGGGATAGCCGTCCTAGTCCATCCGTATAAGGGTACGGAGGCGAACCGGTGCGTCATATGGTCCAAGAGTTCCCCTCTTGGTGGTCGAGGCGTCGATGTTGTCAAGGTAGTCGGCGGCTCAGTTACCTTCTCCAAAGATATGCGAGATCTTGTTATGAACTGACTGGAGTGTAGATCTAATAAGCATTAGTGGGTGTTGTATCTGCCACGAGCCCTGATGACCCGATACAAAAAGGGTGGCGAGAACGGCAGCATCCAGCTCAAGCCGAATGTGAGTAGTGATAGATGTAGCTGCCTGAAGACCGATCTAGAGCGCCTGAATCTCCGCATCGTAGCTCGAGGAGGCCCAAAGAGGGGCATGGAATGCTAAAATGAGAGCTCCGATATGATCTCTGATGAGGCCTCCTCCTCCCGCGGCTCCTAAGAGTCGATCGAAGGATCCATCAGTGTTCAAATTAATCCAAGGGGGGGTCAGGTCTCAGCCAAACAATGGGCCTCGGTCGTGGGTGTTGTACAGACGACAGGGGAGGTGGAAAAGGTCGAGATGGCAGTGTGCAACCTGTCCACTGTGAAGGCATGAGTTTGCCCAGTGCTGTGATGAGGGAAAGATGTCGATCTACTTGCAAAACAATATGAGAGCTCGTGAAAGTAA